GAGAAACAACAACAACAACAAAAGTTAACCATTCAATTAAAATATAAGCTAAAAAAAAGTATAATAATTGTGAGCTAAAACAATTTGAGAGTAACATACTAGGAGAAATACCATGGAGAAAGAAACAACCTGGCTAGGGAAATCCAGGAAAGCTCTGTGAGAAAGGTAATAGAGAGGGTATGTGGCAATGGGGGTATATAAACAAAATGGATTATGTTAATTAGCCATAAGAGGACCTGAAACCCTGTCAGATATGTCTAGCTTGGGGAAAAAGAGACTTGGGCATATGACAGTTATTTTTAAACATACAGACAGTTTGTGAGGTCAAAAATAAGAAATCTTCTAGGTTGGCATTAGAATCACTGGGTGGCAACTATAGGGAGGAAAGACTCTTTTAAGAGCCAGTGAAGTCTACACAGACTGCTTTGAAAGTGGTGAGAATCCCTGCCACCTTGCCTCAATACTGTAGGTATTCTTGAAAAAAAGTGCCAAAGCCATTGGGTGGGATACTGACTTCCGGTTGTCAGATAAAATACAGGATGCCATTAACTTTAAATTTCAGATACACAACGAATACTTATTTTTGGAAAGGATGTCCTATAAGTAAGTGCTTTGGGACAAAGAACTCCTCACAGTAGTTTAAGGAGCAACAAACAGAACTAAGTCATAAATATTGCATGGAATATACTTATACTCAAAATTAGTCGTTGTTTGCCTGAAATTCAAATTTAATTGGGCATCGGTATTTTTATTTGCTTAAATCTGGCAAATGTTGAAGTGACTTTTTTTTTGTATTTGTTGAATATTTTAATAACAGTGAGAAAATTTAATAAGTTTTTATTTTTAAATCCTTACTTTACTGTGACATTTGGTTGCATTTTTGTAAAAACAACATAAGACTACTTTTATTTTCAAGACCTAGCCTTACTGTTGGTATACCAGTAAGACTTTATAACCCCTTTGGTAGAAGAGTTTCTAAATTTCTTAGGCTCAGATGCAATCCTAATAATATTATCTGAAAACGATGGCTCATCTGAGACTTCAGATCAGAGGCTGCAAGGTCTGTGGAAGGCATACCTACTGGAAACTGGCCACTCTTTCCATAAGAATAAGCTCTTAGTAATAATTTTTGCAATACTCAACCTTCTCCCTGAATAATTCACTGAATAGCCTAGAGAAAAACCTATAACCAAAGCTAGGCAAATGAGACACGCTTCTCCAGAATATTTGAATATTTGAAATGGAAGATATAGGGACCAGGACAGGTTGGTAGGTGGGCTCTGTTAATGGCAGTGCTCTAGGGAGTAGATTCATGAGGACCCTAGAATTGTCTTAATTTCAGATATGTCATTCCTTCTTGGTTTCTGTGAAATGCCCCAGTATCCAAATATCCTTTTTAGTTGAAGAGCTATAATTAGATTCTGTTAATTGAAACCCAAAGAACCTTAACCAACAGAATATTATAGAAAATGTATTGGGTAAGTAGGATATCTGGGATTGCATGTAGAATATTGCTTAATGTCTGAAAGACCTTAAGAGTTTGGAAAAATCAACTAAAATGGCAACCAGGGAGACTCTCACCACCCTCACTGACACCACGTTTTCCTTGACACAGCAAAATCAGTGAGGAGAAGCAGCTTTGCCCAAATGCCAAACTGTATCACTGTTTTTCTGAGGACCACCAAACTTTCTCTTCCAGTCAAGTGCCAGGTGCCCAGTACCTTTCATGGTTGTTGGTTATTGTCTAAAGGGGAAACACCCTCACTGTTGAATTTTGCTTCCAGACCACAACTGATTCCTGTTAGATTCCAGTTCGTATACCTCAAATCTAAATCCATCATGCATCATTGCCCTACCTCTAGTTGACAAGGCAATATAAAAAGTAAGACGTCTCATTTCTCTGAACTCACATATTGCATTCACCACAATTAAAATGGATATGTTTTCACTAAATTGTCTAAAGTAGCAGGTACAATGAATATTGTCAGAAATGTTTTTAATTTTTAAAGTGGTGTGATTATTTACTACTAGTAATATCAAAACTATGTCCAGGACTATCTGAACTACAGATAGTTGTACACATAATTTAAAGCACAGAAAGTGATTCTACAAAATAATTTGATAAGATACTTGAGAAGATTATTTACACATTTCATGATTACCTCTGATGCAAAATTTTGAAAAATGCATTAAAATTAATGCACTGTAGAATCACCACCTGTAAAATTAACTGTGCTAACGTGTATTCAAGTCATTGCTCCCTTCTTCCTTACTTTTTTATTTTTATTGTTTGAAGTATTACCTATGTCTCCTCCCCCCCCCCCATTGACCCCCTCCCCTCCCTCTTCCCCCCAGGACAAGCCCCCTCCACCCCAGTGTCCGTGTCCATTGGTTATGCTAATATGCATGCATACAAGTCCTTTGGTTGATCTCTTACCCACCCCCCTCCCCTGCCTTCTCTCTAAGGTTGGACTGTCTGTTCAGTGTTAGTCTCTGGATCTATTTTTGTTCAGGAGTTTATGTTGTTCATTATATCCCACATATGAGTGAGATCTGAAGTAAATTCATTCCAGCCTTGAGGGTCTGTGGGGTGAGGGAGCCGGACAAGAAGCTGTATGGGATGATATTCTGGGTTGAGAGGAAGCAACGCAAATAGACAAAGAGATACAAAAACTGAGACCATCCGGAATGCAAAACATATAGGACAATATGATCGTTGGGGTGGGGCAGGAATAATCAAAGGTCAGGGCAGGAGGACCGAGACTAGCCAGAGATCAATGGCGGAACCAAAAGAAAAGGGGCAAAGTTCCCGGGGAACTCCAGTTAGGTTCTCCTACCCTCCTTCTTCCGCAAGAGCGACCCCTTAACTCACATTTTTCGCACACCATCCTTCCGCGACTGTTCCCTTAGTCGCAGTAGCCGGAGCAGCTTGAAAACAACAATACACGCCAGGGAAGGATACCCCTTCCGGGTTACCACAACCCACTTCCGGGCTCTCCGCCCTCCGCCGGCCTTTCCGACACCTGGAAAGCCAAGGGAGGAATAAACTTAAGAGGGAAGGCGGGACTGCTTCCTTTGCCCGCCCCTCCACTTCCGCGATTGGCTGTGCGGCCTAGGGTTTCCGCCCCCTTGGCCTGCGCCTGCGCGAAGAGTCGCACCTGATGGTGGGAGGTGGTAGCTGCCCCTTCCCTTCGGCGGGCGGGAGAGTTAGGTAAGCCCAGCCGAATGGTCCGGCACGCGGGCCTCCGGGGGGTGCAAGCAACCCTGCCAACTGCCCAGATGCCCGCGAGCCTCTGTGCCCCTGGCCCGTCCGCGCCTCCCTTCCCGTGTGACCCAGAGGCTGCTCTGACGTGCTGTGGCTGCCTCCGTCTCCCCTGGTCTCCACACCTGTGCTTTTTGATTATGCCCCTCAGCTCGGCCCCGCTGCCCGCACTCCAGCCGGCCGAGGTTTGGTTTGAGTCCTAAGCGACCCAGTTCATGGTGGGGCCAGGCGGTTCCCGCGAAGTCTCCGGGAGCCGCTCTCAGAACGACCTTCTCTCCCCCCACAATGTCTGCGGACCCGGGCCAGGTGTGACCGCGGACGCCAGGGCTGTAGCCTCCCTAGGGGCGCCTGATGGGTGTCCTAGGGGCGCCTGATGGATGTCCTAGGGGCGCCTGATGGATGTCCTAGGGGCGCCTGATGGATGTCCTACGCACGCTCTCAAGGCCTCGCACAGGGCTGGTCTCTCAAGAGGGGCTAACACTTGACCCTCTCTCCTTTGTTTGGCCTCGTTCATTCATTCATTCTTTCGTTCATCATTGATTCAGGAAGCATTTGAGTTGAGGTATTGCTCCCTGTGTTACATCCAAATCTGCTCATGCCAGTTGGGATTCTGAGAGTGGCCCAGAAGGAAGTGTGCGAGGGGATGCCTGTTGAGACTGTATTGCTGATCTGCTTCCGCCCCTGAGAATTGGACCTCTGAGACATTTTTCCTTTCTCCCTTCTTGTCATTCATACGCTTCTCGGTCCGATTCCCGGTGTGTGTCTTTATTTGAAATGGCTTAGCACGTGGAAGCTTGGGATCTTACGCGTGTCCTCTAACCTGTTTTAGCCTATTTCCTTATCAGTAAGATATTTACCTTTGAGAATTATAGTGCGAATTAATGGAGAGTTGTTGGGGTAAGTCATGGGCTTGCCCTTTTGTGCTAGTGGGCGCCCCTTCTTCTGTGTGTGTATAAAATATACTGGAGTAACCAGAGTTACATAGGGACTATTTAAATTAATAAGGTCCTTATTTAACAATTGTGCTATGTATAAGCTCTCTGCTAGGTAATTTATAAAGGTGTGTGTGTTGTGTGTGTGTGTGTGTGTGATATAGAAAGAGTAAATTATTTTCCTCCTCCATTTGTGTTCTACTTTTTATTGGAATTTAACACCTGTAACAAACATTGTCATTTTGGTATTTCTGGAGCGCTAGGATCCCTTAGTTTAGCATAATGTTTTTTGAACTCTTGATTACAGTAGTCACCGTTTGAGTATTCAAGTGTGCACTTGGTATCACTGGGCTTTTGTTAGAAGATGTGAACTACAGTGATATTAGACAAGGATCCACAATGGTAAAAAATGCCAACAGTTTAGCCAAAGTGTATTCATGGAGTTTCTAGAATGCATAGGTTATATTTCCAACAGGGGCAGATTATTACTCCATGCAGTTTGTTCTCACCTCTGATTTTGGCAAAAAAAAAAAAAGGGAAAGGAATCACTTAATTGGTCCTAGTACATGACCCTTTTGCAGAAACCAGTCACACATATTTAAGAAATTAGAAAATTTGTCCTTAGCTATGAGAGCTGTTTACTATATTAGTCTTCATGTGCATACACGCATATGCATCTTCCTATATTCTGAAACTAATACTTAGAAAATTGACTTTGGCTCATAATTATTCTTAGGTGTTGGAACATTTAAAACAATGGAAAAAGTCATTATTGCATATGATCTTCTTAATTTGTTTTTTATTAGACAGCCACTCAAGGAAACACCATGAAAAATGCTGATATCAAGAGACTACTGTATACCCATCTTTTATGCATATTCTCAATTATCCTAAGCATCTTCATTCCATCATTCTTCTTGGAGAACTTCTCAATATTGGAAACTCACTTGATGTGGTTGTGCATCTGTTCTGTTTTTGTAACTGCCGTCAATCTAGTATTATATTTAGTGGTGAAACCAAATGCATCCAGTAAAAGAAGTTCATTATCATACAAGGTAAGGCTCATTTCTTGATAACTGATTTTTAGATAGAGGTAGTGGTTGTTGTTTTTTTATGGAAAAATAAAGCATTATTCCAGTACTCACTTGAGTTATTTACAGTGACTAAAGAGAATGTTAGTTGCTAGAAGGCTGCCCACAGCACTCGATAGAGCCTTGTTGGGCATTAATTGTGTCTTCATGAATAATATAGCAAATATTTCATAATAATAAGGGCTGTTTGTATTGTATTCTAGCAGTCTGTTATTGGTAAATAGTTCATAGATACTGGTTAACAGCATAGCTCAATACATATCATAGAAACAGAAATGCTTTTTGACTATAGTGCTAGTTGGGTGGGTAGAATATTGGCGGGGGGAGCTCTATTGAGGGCTGTGTACCTGACTGTGAATAAGATGTGATCTGACTTCAGGATACCCAAATCCAAAGAACATTTCAACTGTTCACACATGGGGAATAAGTTATGTTTGTAAATAAAATGGAAACATGTACTGTCCTTTAGGCATTCTCTTACGTCTTTAAATTACTCTTTTTTTTTTTTTTAAGGAACCAGATTTTTGAAAGGTGGTTCTACTTTCTATGTCTGTTTCGTCTTTCATGTAATTTTGTCCTATATGGAGCACCATTAATAGAGTAAGTCTGAAATTTCTACCTTAAGCCAATTATATTTTAAAACACTTTTTTGCTAAACAAAGGGCTAATTCTGTTGATGATTAGAGAGAGACTGTGGTGTGTTTTATTATTGGATCAAGGAAGGATACTGACATCATTGCCCTTCCTTAGCAGGAATAACTAAATTCATCAACTGCTCTTATTACCTAGCCTTCTATTACACAATTGCATGTGGGGGGTGGAAGGTAGATGAGAAACTATACTATACCAATAAGTGTGTGACCCAATAGTGATAGGGATAACTTAGGTAGTATTAGCATGACAGTTCTTAGTAAATGTGATTCTGAAATGCTTGAAAAAAGTTTGTTTTCTTAAGAAAAGCCAATAGATTCCAGTATTTAAATACTTAATAAGTTAATGCTTATAGTTTAAAGGTAAAATTTAACTCAATACTTTTTCAAAACTGACCAATTTTAAATTAGTGAAAATTCATGAATATCTCTTACATTAGAATTTGGGAAACTTTAGCAGTGATTAATGATCATGGTGAAAGGAGTGATTTATGTATATACACAAATACATAGCTATAATACATAGTTATATAAATTTATACATAGCTTGTTATATATACATATTAAATTAACAGATAATTCTTTTCTAGAGAAGGGAGGACAAGACCTTTGTAATGGCAAATGGATATTTCTATCTAATCCATTTTAGAGTAGAATGAATGTCTAGAGCAATGGTGTGCAAATTGTGGTTCTAAACCAGCATCAGCATTTTACTTAAATGCAAATTCTCAGGCCTCAGTCAGTCAGAAATTCTAGAGGTGTGGTCCTCCAATCTCTAAGTTTATCCAGCTTTTTAAGTGGCTCTGATTTAAGCTAAAGTTGAACCACTAGTTGCAGAGAAAGTTCCAGAGACTATTGAGGAAGAAAGTTAATTATCTGGAAATGAGGTTTCTTGCTTTGGCCAGAATGGATCCTAGGGTTTTTAATACTTCTGAACTCTACAATTAAAGTCAGATATTTGGGAGATTATTTTTTATAGCTTACATTTTTTATAGTCATCATTTTGGTAGGACTCATGTTACCTTTCAAAGGAAAGTGCAAGAAAATATTATTATATTAAATCTATTTAAGTAACAAAGATTATGTATGTGTACATATGTGCTCCTTTAATACTTTTTAAAAAATTAATGAAGTTTCTTTTTCCTAGGCTGGTGTTGGAAACATTTTTATTTGCAGTGATCTTGTCTACTTTTACTACAGTACCTTGTTTGTGTTTGTTAGGACCAAACCTCAAAGCATGGCTAAGGGTTTTCAGTAGAAACGGGTAAGTTTTAATTTTATATTTTAGTGATTTGAAAAATATTTTAAATTAATGTATTTTTCTATTCATGGCGGCTAGCTGATTATTTCATGAGTGTTTCTCAGCTCTGTATCGTTCTCGGAAATGCATTAAGGGCCCACTGCAGTTGGGGACTGGAGAGAGAGAAGGAGTTGTAAGCACTTAAGGGAGATCCAAGCTGGCAGAACTACAGGCCCCTCCCTCTGCTTTAGCAAGATCAGCTCTGCATTTTTCCATATGGTAGAATTCCACTTAGCCTTTCGTTTGAAAAGGGGTTTCTGCTACCAGAGGTAATCTTTGAAAACCACTCCTCAGGGATAATTTGTCACTGTGATAAAAATTCGACAGATAAAATTGCTTCCTTATGTATTGTAATGTAGAATTGGAGTCCACAATCTAAAAATGTTTAGTGTCATAACTGCCATTTCTTGTTTAGCCTCTTTTGTGATATGACACCTGAGTGCAGGTTTTACAGGATTTTACTTCCTCAGCAGCCATATATATTTTCAGCATAGCTAAATTAAAATTTTAGCTTCTTGAACGGCATTGAGATGATTTGTATCAAAAATGGTTGGGGGGAAAAAAAGAAATGGTTGAGTCATAATTAATAAAACTAGAAAGTTCCTTGGTGTCCATAATTTTGTCCTGTTTATCACCCAGTGGCAAAAACTCTTGAGCTCTTATTTCTCTGTGCCATGTGGAGCTTTTTTTTTTTTGTACATGTGTGTGGATTCTGAAGTGTCAGCCATGATTCTCTCCCTGTCCCTTGTTCACGGGACAAGAGTGAAATGAGCAAACAGTGTGAGGCTAGAATTGTGTAAATCAGACAGTAAGTATTGTAGGAACTGAGGGGTGGGAGACCACTGAAGAATGAGTTGGAGGAGGGATAATCTATGAAGGACTTGGATCAGGAGTATGAGATTTGAGGAGACTGGGAAAAGGGGAAAACACCTCATGCTAAGGCAATGAATGAAACCATAGAAACTGAAATGAACATGGTATTTTTGTGGGATTTGAGAGGGAACAGCCCACCTGGAGCAGAGGATGCCTGATGGGTATCGAGGCTCCATAAATTACTGACTTTTTGTTTTTGAAATGAATACTGTTTGTTCCCCCTTCCGAACCATCTAGTGTTCATAACACCTCTAGAAAAAAAAGTGTAACTATTGAAAACTTTCCCCCTTTTGTTACCACAATATCCCAAAAGGCATTGATTTCTTTTAGCATTTTAGTTTGAAAAATTTAAACAGTGGAAACCGGTTAAACCTTATTGGTTTTGTTTGGTGATTTATCCAGCTTTGAATTTTGTTTCTGATAATAGTGTATTTGGGGGAGACATCTGATTCCTGCTATAATATGACATATGCAGTCCTAAAAATCTCTGCACTATGCAAACTTGGGCAATAAAAAACTCATAAGGAAAGGTGGGAACTTAATAAAAATGGTAGGACAGTTTTAGACATGTTAGACATGTTAAGAAATGCCTAATTATTGTAATAAATGTGGCCCTTTTCCTTGGGAAAAACCCTGAAATTTGCTTTTGCAAGTAGGTGTGGGAATGGTTACCTCTTGTAAGTCATTATAACTTTGACCCAGCAATTCCACTTCTAGGATATTATCATAGACTAGTGGTCCGGTGCACGAAATTCGTGTACAGGGGAGGGAGATGGGGAGGGTCCCTCAGCCCAGCCTGCACCCTCTCCAATCTGGGACCCCTCGAAGGATGTCCTACTGCTGGTTTACAGGAATCGGGCCTAAACCGGCAGTTGGACATCCCTCTCACAATCCGGGACTGCTGGCTCCTAACTGCTCACCTGCCTGCCTGCCTGATTGCCCCTAACCACTCTGCCTGCTGGCCTGCTCATCCCCAACTGCCCCCTGCTGCTGGCCTGCTCTTCCCTAAATGCCCCCCCCCCCGCCGGGAGGACTGATAATTAAAACCCAATTGGCGCCAGATTGTACAGGGTTTGCCCCCAAAAGCCCCCTGTCAGAGCCCCTAAGTCCCCCCACGGTGGTCCCGGTGGTGTCCTGTATAGTCTCAAAAGCCCTCCCCGGGTAGCCGATAATCCTCTTTTTGCATTCCCTAAGATGTGCTGTTTGGTGTTC